ACACACACACATATACACATACACACACATATTTATATAGATCGTTTTTTATATGAACATTTTTATAAAAATGTGCAGCTATGTTATGGAAAGTCTGATGTATTTTCATTAGCTTCAAAATCAGATGAACCAACAACTCCTCCAGATTATCATTGTATTACTGCACTGGTCAATGATGATGCACCTCTGCGTCTGAATACCCAACCTCAAACTAACTTCCCCACAGTAGGTAACCATTACACAAAAAATAAAGACTAAAAAGTTTAAAAACATATATCTAAAACATAAAATACACTTTGTAACAGCGGTGCTCATGTTGTTTTAGTGTTAATGTTGACTATATCCTGGTTGGTTTGAATTAAAATTAGTCAAATGAACAATATATTTGTGTTGCTCCTGTGAAGTCAGGAAGGGTCTGGGGGTTGTCAGAGGTTTCTAGAAGGGTCAGCACAGGTGCTAACGTTATATGAGGAACAGCAGCCCCCCACAGACTCATATGTCACACCAGAGGAGCGAAACTCGAAGAAGAAACTGTGAGAAGAGCGTGAGGGAGACTAGTTTAAAAATGACGGAAACCAAGAGGTAAGTGAGTTATGGCTATTTTATTGGAGCTTATGTCCCTTGTTTGAGACAACATGTCTAAATGTACATTGTCCACCTCCATAAAAGTCTTAACTGTAGAAGTCACGCGCTCATGAACAGTACCGCCTGTTGCTCGGTAATTAAACTCCTCGACATTTGAAGGACGCTAGCCACAGTCTGTTTCATACTTCAACTCCCTGCTAACATATTTGCCTTAGTTCGAGTTATCACCAGCTTCAGGCAACTTTTTTGCAACAGTTAAACTCATTTGAATCCGTGCATGCAGTCACTCCTCTCCTCATACTGTAGCAAATGTCTAAGATTAGAAAGCAATAGACGATCTTTGTTAGGCTACTTTTACAATTGGTATTGGTATTAGCATGTGGTGCTTATAAATGAATTGTTATTACGAAAGAGTTACTTTTCAATACTTATGTTGTATTCAATACCTCTTTGGTTTGTCTTTACAGAGCTGGTATGGAGACCAAGGGAAAAGCCATGACCTTCCAGTCTCAAAAGGAGATGTTTGAGAAGATGGAGGAGTCTTTTAAAATCTGTGCCTGTTGTGAGAAGAAGCCAAATCAACTTTCAAACCCACCGAGCATGAAGCGCTGTGCCAGGTAATCACCAATCAAACCTTTGCAGCCAAAATATCCCTCCATCAAAGTGGGTCATTTTGTGATCTCTAATCTTGTGCTTTTTCCCCATCTTTGCACAGATGTCTCTTTGTTTACTACTGCTGTAAAGACTGTCAAAAGAATGACTGGCCCAAACACAAGAAATTCTGCTCACAGCTGTGTCTGGCTTCCATTGACCGAGTTGTGGAATGGCTTTTATTCAAAGGTAAAACATCAATGGAAGAGAGTCCACCCACATTTTTATTTTTATTTTATTTGTTTATGGCAGTTATTTTAAAAACATGTACACTTTACAAAACATGTACACTTATACTGTTTTAATTTGTATTTTTATAGCGCATGGTGGAAAGGAGCAGGGAGAAGAACATTTTACCTGCCCCTTCTTGAAAAAAAAGTTTAACATTCTTTCAGTCACAGTTGCTTACAAATACTGAAACATAAAACCAGAACACAATCAAAAGTCAACTTCATACTTTCTAATTACGCTTTTTTTAATACATTTTCTTAAACAATGGTAAAATACAATTGGATAAGCCAAGTCTTCCCCCAGGAAAGGAATAAAGGAAGGTGAAAGTAAGGATTAAAGCCACATCTCATGAACTCCTGTTTTTACTACTAAACATATTTCTTATTTGTTCCTATCAGGAGACCTTCCGTTCCCTACAGAGAAATGGTCAAAGCCCCAGTCAGAGATTAAAGGCTGGGATGACTGGCTTGCGATGCAGGGGGATCTCACGCCTCGCCTCGATCCCATCTTAAAAGGAGCAAACATGAAAGACTTGTGGACCAACGCCGGCAGGCCTCCCCCTGTCGATGAGGTCCTGAAGGATTCTCTGTGGAGGGTCTGCAGTGAGCTGTTCTCCAGGCCGCTGACCATCGCCTGGGGCATGAGGCTGTTCGGTCTGAACCCTATTTCCAAACCTCTCACCATTCACCTGGTGGGAGCGGGCCAAAGCGAGACCATGGGAGCCAGACTGACGGACTACGACGAGCTGAACAACATGTTCCCCGGACACCAGGGCATAGAGATAGTCATGGTGGGACCAGAGGTGGTGGACGGGCCCATCGTGAGGCCTCCTCTCAGGGCGTTCGGTCCCAGGCAGAGGGTCTTCATCAGCGCCTACAAGGGCCTCTACCACCAGTTCTGGGAGGAGCTGGTGGAGAAAGAGGAAGCAGCCAAGCCAGACCTGGTGGTTGGATTTCATCCTGGTAAAAAAACATGCTATCACACAAAAAGATATAATACAAAAGCCACTTCATGTATAGCTAATAACCATATGAGGAGGTTCTTGTTCATATTAAACTGTTTTACACTTTTTGTGTCAAGGATTTGATGCCAGTCAGGCACTGGAACAAGGTTGGCTCCCGACTCTTCTGCTCCTCAGGGATTATGAGATTCCTTCACTTTTCACTGCTCTCAAGTGAGTGTTACATAGCAGCCACCACACATATAGAGGAATACCAAATTGCAGCCGATTAAAGTAACTTAGTAGATTTACTAAAGGACAGTGCTTCCGTTACATTTAGTGTACCTTACTAATTACCTGTGTTGTTCTTTTCTTTTCACTATATCTATAAAGCGTCTTTGAGCACCTGTAAAAGCGCTAACAAAATAAATCTATTATTATTAATTACGATCACAGTTGAGATTTGACATAAACAATATTCATCAAAATTAGGGACATAAAAGGAAGCATTGTTATACATTCAAATAAGTAGTCAAAACCAAGTCAAACAATATAACATTATTACCTTTTTTAGCATGTGTTTTCTACTTTTTAACTTAATCACCTCAATCGATCCCAATACTGCTGATTTATGACACCTAAATACAAAAAAAGTTGCATATTTAACTCCAGTTACAGTTTTTACCATTAGATACCCTAACCATCTATAAATGAATGCAAACACAAGTACATTGAGACTGTAATCTGATAGAAATAAATAACTTGGTGAACTGTATATTATTTTTTAACATCTCATTTATGTTATATGTTAGTAATTCTCTGTAATTAATTGTACATATTTTTTTCTCTGGCACGTTATCAGAGTTCAATTCAGGTCCCCATTTAAATTCACAGAGAACAGTTTATAAACGTGCACATTGTAATGGATGCATATTATTTGCATTACGGGGTTGTATGTTAAAAGTGCATGAAAGTATGCAAATATACTTAATGCCTGGTGGATGCTCCATTATCCATGTAAATGTATCCATGGTGTGTTTAAGTGTAACGGCTGCTGATGCTTCCTGTCCCCCCGCCCTCCCCCCCCCCTGCCATAGTGAGACGGAGATGACCTACTCCCTGCAGATCCTGCTGGAGTTGGAGATGCATTTGAAGGGAAGTGGAGCTTGCCCCTTCGCGTCGCTGAAACCAGAAGTGGTGGGCTCATCTCCCAACAAACCTCCCGTCTTCTGCAACTCCCACTACTTCTGTTTCCAGGGTCTGCTGGAGACCGCCGAGTTCGAGGAGCCATAGGAGGCCTGAAGGTGCTCACCCACTGTCGTCAAAACTGGACCCCTGATGTCTTTCGGACTGTGAAGCATTGTTTCTATATGCCATTTCCCCCCCTTGTAATAAGGTTTACAAATAGTGTGTAAATACATTATTGTTCGTAGTTAATTTCCATTTCATAGCTCTGAGTGTTTGCCATGACATTTGCATTCACTATCTCAGATTCCTCGCATCCCTATTGTGAGATTTGAATATACTGTCCCTTGCTGATTTAAATATACTGGCCCAGAACTATTGTTAACTGTGAGGGAATTAAACATTGTGGCAACTGTCAAATGTCTGCTTATATTAAGTTACAATAAAACATTTAAAATGATTAAATATGGAGGAGACTGCATTGTCTCCTCTGGTTAAACACCGCTTTGCTTCTTTGTTTTATAGGCATCATTTCAAATCCATGTTCATAAAGAAATCAACAAGAAATACTAAGGGCTTTTTAAGCATGGGATCACTTTTATCCGTCAATTACCTAAAAAAGTATGCAAAACAATATTTCAAAGAAAATATGTATACACAAGCAGATCAGTGTTTTATCTCCGTCCCAAAAAATATGTCCTAGTGACAAAACCAGATCACAGAAATAGGGAAACCATTTTTTTATCAAAGCGTAACTTTGTTCCCATTTTGGTTTTTCTGACTCTTATCGGTTCGTAGCTGCCAGATCCAAGGAAACACGGGTATGTTCATTCATGTGTAATTTCACTTTCAAAGACATAATGCAACACTTGCAAAACATAATTGGCAGGGCCATACAATTAAAGGGGATTATTAAAACAGACATCCAAAAATGAGACTACCTTAACGGCCCGTCCACACTACAGCTTCGACAGCTTCAAAAACGGTTTCCAACGCGTCTGCCCATTCACTTTGAATGGGGTGACGTCACTTTTCGCCGAACTGCATTGTGGGAAGCAGAGCGGAGCTTTCCTGGCGTTTCAGGCTGCAAAAGTTGAGCAATGTTCAACTTTTGAAGCTTCTGAAGCTTTCGGTGGAAGCGTCAGCCAATCAAATCATATGCCAGTACAAGCTCTAGCCAATCAAACCGCTGCTTGTGTGTCAGGGGCGGGAGATTATTACATTATTATTATTACATGTCACTTGTTAGACGCTTTTATCCAAAGCGACTTACATACTCAATACTGTGGGCAATCCCCACAGGAGCAATTTGGGGTGAAGTGTCTTGCCCAGGGACACAACGACATGCTGTCTGCAGTGGGGTTTGAACCGAGCTTGTTGGTCGAGCTTCAGACAAGCCCAGCTCCAAGCTTTTTTTGAAGCTGTAGTGTGGACTAAGGGCAGACAAAGCTTATAAATCTTTCATAGGCTAGAAATTATCGCGTATACACAATGTAATGCTATGGGAAGATGTTGTATTCATCATACATTCTTTTTGCCGTTATAGGTCATATCGGGGTTAGGAATCTCACCACTATGTGCGTTTAAAGCCACAGATACCAAGCAGGGTGAAAACGAGGTCGATTGAAAACAAAATAAGATTGACGTAGGTAAAAAATGCAACCATGAACTGTATGGCCCAGATACAGTAGCTGGGGGGGCAGTCACTGGGCCGAGGGTTATTCCTGAACATAAAAATAGGCCACACAATAGCAGCAAAAATATAAAGCACAACTGAAATCACCAGGAATATAAACACAAATCTGTCCAGGTTAAAGGGCAAACACGTCTTCAGTTTCTTCAGGATGTTGGTGGCTATGATTAGAGGGAGGATGGGGAAAGGAATGATGTAGACGATAACACATATGATCAGCGCCGGCTTGTCTCTGAAACCGGTCAGTGAGACAAAAATCATGCAGCTCACAAACGCCTCCAAAACCTTGAAGAATCCAGGCAGAGCGGCCAGGTAGCTCCCTTTCTTCTTGTCACAGATTTTGTCTTTCACCACTTCAAGTGTGTACACAACGCCAGCCAAGATTGCGAACAAACAGATTATCAGGCTGTAAAAGCACTTCAGGCAGGCGTAGAAGTTGACAAATGTGATGGCGACAGACACGGTCATGAGGGTGGAGGACATGGCCATGCCTGTGGCGAAGTCAGGCCAGTCCATGCACAACAGATTGAGTATGATGTCCAGCTTGAACATCTCAATAATGGTGATGATGAGGGTCATGATGGGGCAGAAGGCCCAGGTGAACATAGCATAGTTCCAGTATGAGTGGGTACCTTTTCCTCTGAAGGCAGACAGTAGAAAGGTGACAAGAGACAGAAGGATCTGAGCCATGTGAAGTCCGCCTCGACCGGATAACAGAGTTGAAGGAGTGAACACAGCCTTGGACAGCGTTTCCTTAATACTATTTATTATTCCCATCTTTTCAAAGGTGTTGAAGAGCAGTTGGAATACCTTTCTTATGAATATCCTCGTGGACAGCTGCTAGAAACTGGCTGAGGTGTGGTTTCAGTTTTGTTACTGCCTTCCACCTCCACTTTCAAGGCTTTAACTGCTTTTCTGTTTTGCATATTTTTCATTTATTGTGTGAAGAGATAAATGTCCACTGAAGCAGATATGAAATAACCTAGAATGAGAGTCCTGGTTTTGCCTAGGACGTGGAACACAGGTTACAGCAAAAGCAGATCTACAGCTCCTTGACAATTTTAGTGACCTATGTGTGCCAAATGCTTCCTGCTATCAAATGCCATTTTCCAAATACATAAATATACTATCCGTGCTTAATTTTCAAAGTGTTCCTCTTTCTATAAAAACTAAGCTACCCAAGATCACCCAAAGAATAATTTTCAATGTACACTATAAGGCAATAGTACTATATTTGATGCAGTGTTATAGTTTATTGATGCACAAACTTTTATGGCACATTGAGGATTATCGTTTTTATTGTTGCAGCTCTAGTAAATGGATCATAGTCCTAAAGATACAGTTAAAGCAGTCATTTATAGCTCCACTAGCTGTGTATCAAGACTGGTTTGTATGATTGTTGCCTCAAGAGGTAAGCAAAACGAATACATTCATGCTATACAGTTTATAAAGTTATTAAATCAACACATAATTACACAAGTAGTGTAAAACGTATATATATATTTTTTAATATGTGATTTGTTTGGGGATTCCACCAGATTCAGAGACAGTTTCATCCCACAGGCAATAAGACTGTTAAACACCTGAACTGTTGAAACAACATCCATAACATTCATCTGCTACTAAGTAATTATGTATCTATTCTATTTATCTTATATCATTCCAATAGCTTGCATATAGACTCTTATTTAGCTATATTAACTTTTTTAAACTATCTTTCTTTTTGTATTTACTTTTTAATATTTAGGCACTATATGTGTCTGTTTATCTGTATTATTGTGATGTACTGTTGGAGAAGCCTGTGACCTAAGATTTTCATCGACATAACTACTCTGTAGCTATGTTGTATGACAAATAAAGACCTTGAACCAACAAAATAAAAATGACGTTTCTGCACGGACATACTTATGTGTGACACTGCTATAAACTAACCGTTGAATATGTTCCCGTTTTCCTTTTTTTCTACACCAAATGTGATTTATACTCGTTTAAAAACATTATAATTGTTGGTAGACGAACTGTTGTCTTTCTCTTGACATCCGGCGCTGGTTTCCGGGGAAGGTAAACAGAAAGCACAAAGAGGAAGTTGTTGTCAAGCGTCTGTAGCATTAGCTCTGCCAGCATCAAACACACAGAAACATGTCTTTACTTTTCTCATTTTAGAGCCGTAGACATTCAAAAACAACTCTGGAGGAAGCCGTCGCCTTGCTGGAGCTATACTTAGTTGTAATGATAATTTCATTTTCCTGGGCTATTTATTTTATATTTGTGTCGAAGCCATTGTTTGGGAAAAACTAGCTAGCGTTAGCAATGAGTCGATGACACAGACTGCACTGCACCACAAGAGTTTGAGTGAACACCAGCTTCTTGCACTGGGGAGAAAGTGAAGAGGGAACATGGATTTCTCTAAGTTCCTGGATGATGAATTTGATGTGAAAGACTGGGTGAACGGAGCCTTCAAGGTGGTGCAGAAGGACGCTCCGGGGAAGGCAGACACACACGCAGCCACTCTGGTGATGAAACTGCAGCTCTTCATCCAGGAAGTGAACAATGCCATTGAGGGTAAGAGCTTACAGTAAAGTGTCATGACGTTTTGCTTTAACGCCACGTTCACAGTTTTGTTTTAGATGCACCAAGTGGGAGGTTAATCACTCCGTTTCCGGTTTCTGGTGTAGAGCTAGCCTAATCTTATGCTGCCTGTCTTAAAACAGATCTACGCCTATTACTAGATACAAGATGCAAAGGTTTTATTGACAGCCGGCCAAGCTACAGGGTAGAAATGGCAATGAAAATCTTATGAACCGAGCTCCTTCAACTATGCAACATATATCATAAAATGTCAAAATACAAATAAAAAATTGTGCAAGAAGTCTATAAATCTACTGAATTGCATTACTCCTTAGTTATTGAATGCATTGCAAGTTGATCCCTATTTGTGTCACTCAGGGTAGACTTTAAAAATTATAAACATCAATTATGATGCATTACATCACAACACGCTTCCAACACGACTGTAAAGATGAAAAAACACCTCTCGAAAACAGTTGTATAATTACTTATTTGTAATGCTATTCTATGTCGGTATTACATTTTCTGCTCGGATTCATTTATTGGGACTTTGCTCCATGCAATATACATGATAGGCCAGAGTCACTGAAATAGTGAGTTGTTTTCCTTCCTTAACAATCATTTGATGTTGTTGTAGAAACCCAATTCCCAGTTTTAGTTTTCTTGTATTTACTAACTGATCCTCTGCTGTTTGTCTGTGTGCAGAGAGCAGTAACCAGGCGCTCCAGAACATGCCCAGAGTGCTGCGGGACGTGGAGGCTCTGAAACAGGAGGCCTCTTTCCTCAAGGAGCAAATGGTTCTGGTCAAGGAGGACATCAGGAAGTTTGAGCAAGACACTGTGCAGTCTATGCAGGTGTGTGTGTTTACATCACTATGTCATTACTGCATATGGATGTAAAATAATAATAATACAAATCTTTATCTGGTGTCATGTTATTGAAACAAAACGGCTGCTCAAAGCTTGACAGTTGCAGTATGTTGAGGGTGGATGAGGATATTCCTTAGATATGACTTTCACATTGTGTGATTCCTACTCCTCAGGTCCTGGTGGAGATCGATCAAGTGAAGGGCCGCATGCAGCTGGCAGCTGAAGCTCTGCAGGAGGCCGACAAATGGAGCACACTGAGTGCAGACATCGAGGAGACCTTCAAAACACAGGTACACACGAAAGACAACGCCACAGGACTTCTCGTTATATTTTTGTCTGGCTTGCTGCTCTGTGATCATGAGACATTGCTGCTCATCCTGACAACCATATCATTGTCCATTAAATTACAGTTTTGGAATGGGATATTATTTTACAATGAACGTCTGTTAAACATTGATTTAAATTAGAATCTTTGCAATTTAGGTTTTAACATAAAAGGAAATGTCCTTAAAGCAAAACTAGAAACATAAATATAGAATAGAAGCAAATAAGAATATAAATGTGAAAAAAAGCATGTGAAATGTATAAAAACATTTTAAATGAAAGACTTGTTGCTTTTTAGAAGTGGTTTTGTTTTTGAAGAATAGTTACAATTCATTGTAGTGGACAGGAAGCCCATGCATTTGTAAATTGACCTCTAACATAATCAAGCAATTTTCCAGGCACTTGATTTGAACTGATTTGATTTCGGTCAAGAGGAATTAAAGATAATTTTACTGACGGTTTAATTTGTGTCTTTTATAATAGAATATTAAGGTATTGTTTTGTGTACGTTCACTCAATTATGTTCTCTTCCTTTTCCAGGACATGGCAGTCATTTCCTCCAAGCTGACCAGCATGCAGAACAGTCTGGCCATGTTGGTGGATACTCCGGACTACTCTGAGAAGTGTGTCCACCTGGAGGCTCTGAAGAACAGACTGGAAGCTCTGGCCAGCCCTCAGATAGTAGCAACCTTTAACTCCATGTCTCTAGGTAAGACCCAGTGAAACCAGTATTTCTAAGATGTATTCCATCGTTCAGTTCCTGTAGTTCATTTAAGTTTCATTCTGTGTTTTCTTTCTGCAGACCAAGCCAAGCTGTTTGTTAAAGTCTTCACAGAGATAGATAGGATGCCACAGCTCCTTGCCTACTACTACAAGTGTCACAAGGTCAGTGTTACAGGCCTCTCCATAACCTTAAGAATTATCTTAAGAAAAATCATATTCTCTGATGTATTCCCTGTGTTTACATGTTTGTTGTGGCTTCTCCAGGGTCAGCTGGTGAGCATGTGGCAGGATCTCTCTCAGAGCGAGCTCAGTCTGAATCAGCAGCTGTCTGAATTCTACGACACCTTGCTCTCCTCGTGGCACTCTCAACTACAGTGGAGCAGCCAGGTCAGTCACCCTGCAGTACCAGAAGCATTGGTTGACTTCCTACAGTGTTAACATAGTACGGTGTCAGAAATAATCAAGGGAAAAGGACAAAATTGCTCACATATTTTAGATATTTGCCCTAAAACACAGTAAAGTAAGCTACAAAAACATGTATTGTTGTGTAGGAAAATCTATTCAAATTTCAAACACCGCAAAAATCATCCGAAAATGCCTTTTTTATTTTCTACCCTATTCACTATTTGACAGGGCTGGGTAGTGATCGGTAAGAATAAGTGCAACACCAAATAAAATATTTATATAGCGTGATAACGGCAATTGTTGCAGTCTAAATTTTTCTTTTTCTTTTTTCTGAACTTTTGAAAGAACATCCATAACATTCATCTGTTTGCAATTTACTAATTATTTATCTAATATATCATATTCCAATTACTTGTATATAGACTCTTCTTGCACTATTTCTATTTCGTTTCTATTTTATTTGTATTTACTTGCACTATTTTATCTGTTTTATTGTGTTGCACTGTTGGAGGAGTCTGTGACCTAAGACTTTCATTGACATAACTACACTGTATCTATCTACAAATGACAATAAAAGCCTTGAACCTCGAACCTCTATAAACACTGTCCCTCAGAATGCTCTTTTAATTCTGTTCACGTTATACTGTAACTCCTCAGGTTTTTAAGAACCCGTACGAGGTGGTGACGGTACTGCTGATCCAGACTCTGGGGGCCATGGTGCCCTCCATCCCCGTGTGCCTGAGCTCGGCTCTGGAGCGGTCGGCCCAGGAGCAGCGCCTCGACACGCTGCTGGAGCTCCATCACACCACCTCTACCTTCGGACACAGCCTGGAGGCCGCCATGCTGTCACACCTGGGTCTGTACATTATAACAGACATGACTGTAGAT